ATCAACACTGTAACTAACTCCCCGCAGATGGTCCTTGTCAGCCGACTCAAGCTTATGGGGCCGGGGCTGGGGCCGGGGCTGGGGCCGGAGCCAGGGCCGGGGATGTCCCTAAGAGAGTACAGGGCCCCAGGCAACCCTCCTGCCATAGATCCCACCCCAGCCTCCATTTGACTGGAGAATTGCTAATATAGTTCCGATTTTTAAGAAAGGGAAAAAAAGCGACCCGGGTAACTATAGGCCTGTTAGTTTGACATCTGTAGTATGTAAGATCCTGGAAAAAATTTTGAAGGAGAAAGTAGTTAGAGACATTGAGGCTAATGGCAATTGGGACAAATTACAACATGGTTTTACAAAAGGTAGATCGTGCCAAACCAACCTGATCTCCTTTTTTGAGAAAGTAACAGATTTTTTAGATAAAGGAAATGCAGTGGATCTAATCTACCTCGACTTTAGTAAGGCATTTGATACAGTACCACATGGGGAATTATTGGTTAAATTGGAAAAGATAGGGATTAATATGAAAGTTGAGAGGTGGATAAGCAACTGGTTAAAGGGGAGACTACAGTGGGTCATATTGAAAGGAGAACTGTCGGGTTGGAGGAAGGTTACTAGCGGAGTTCCTCAGGGATCAGTTTTGGGGCCAATTTTATTTAATCTTTTTATTGCTGATCTTGGCACCAAAAGTGGAAGTGTCCTAATAAAATTTGCGGATGACACAAAGTTGGGAGCTATTGCCAATTCAGAAAAGGATCGGGATATCATACAGGAAGATCTGGATGATCTTGTAAATTGGAGTGATAGCAATAGGATGAAATTTAATAGTGAGAAGTGTAAGGTTATGCATTTAGGGATTAATAACAAGAATTTTAGTTATAAGCTGGGGACACATCAGTTGGAAGTAACGGAGGAGGAGAAGGACCTCGGAGTCCTGGTTGATTATAGAATGACTATGAGCTGCCATTGTGACATGGCCGTGAAAAAGGCTAATACGATCTTGGGATGTATTAGGCGAGGTATTTCCAGTAGGGATAAGGAGGTGTTAGTGCCATTATACAAGGCATTGGTGAGACCCCATTTGGAATACTGTGTGCAGTTCTGGTCTCCCATGTTTAAGAAGGATGAATTCAAACTGGAACAGGTACAAAGAAGGGCCACTAGGATGATCCGAGGAATGGAAAACCTGTCTTATGAAAGGAGACTCAAGGAGCTTGGCTTGTTTACTTTAACCAAAAGAAGGCTGAGGGGGGACATGATTGCACTTTTTAAATATATTAGAGGGATAAATACCAGGGAGGGAGAGGAATTATTTAAGTTTAATACCAATGTGGACACAAGAACAAATGGATATAAGCTGGCTAGTAGGAAGTTTAGCCAGTTTAGCTTGAGATTAGACGAAGGTTTCTAACCATTAGAGGAGTGAGGTTCTGGAACGGCCTTCCAAGGGAAGTAGTGGGGGCAAAAGATCTATCTGGTTTCAAGATTAAACTAGATGGGTTTATGAAGGGGATGGTTTGATGAGATAACATGATCTTGGTAACTAATTGACCATTCATTATCAGTGGGAAATAGGTCAATGGAGGGATGATAGGAATTACTAGAGAACTTTCTGGGTGTCTGGCTGATGAGTCTTGCCCACATGCTCAGGGTTTAGCTGATCGCCATATTTGGGGTCGGGAAGGAATTTTCCTCCAGGGTAGATTGGCAGAGGCCCTGGAGGTTTTTTGCCTTCCTCTGTAGCATGGGGTACAGATCACAGCTAGAGGATTCTCTGCATCTTGGGGTCTTCAAAGTATTTGAAGGCTTCAATATCTGAGATATAGGTGAGAGGATTATTCTGGGAGGGGTGGGTGAGATTCTGTGGCCTGCACTGTGCAGGGGGTCGGACTAGATGATCATAATGGTCCCTTCTGACCTTAAAGTCTATGAGTCAGGCTGGCCAGCAGCTGGAGGAGCCACACTGCAGCAGCAGCTGCACAGGCAATGCTAACTCCTGCCACATGGCTGGTACCAACAGCAGCTCCTGCCTTGTCACAGACAGACACTTGCCCATTGTCGCCGTCCTCAGGCACAACGATCTCAACGTCACACTTGCTCGCCAGCTCTACGGTTATCTGCTGCAGCTCCTCTTCCACCCGCGCCTCCTCGTGTGACCTGCAGAGCCCAAGGGACACAGGCCTGTCTACTCCGGTCCACACCATCTCCCCCACGTCCATCAGCCTCCCAGCCCAGCACTGCCACAAACACAGCTCCTGGTACCCATGGGCAGCTGCGCCACACACATGTACCAGCTCTCTTAGCTCCTGCAGTCAGGCTCTCCCGGACTCTTGCAGCCCCACTGCCCAGCCCAGAGGGTCGAACCCCTCCTGGTTGGGAGGAGAGAACTGGGCAGTGGGATTAGCTGGAGCAGAGACCCTGCTTTACCCCAGGATGGCTGGCAGCCTGAAGCTGCCTGCTGGAGAGGAGGAAAGCGGGGGTGAAAGGAGGAGCTGCATTGGTGACATTCCAGCTGTGCCAGAGGACACACTTGAAGACTATAACAGAGTTCAAAAAAGCACGAGGGAATTCCTGGAGGAGAAGTCCCTCGACAGCTACTAGCCAGGCTAGTGGCCCTAGCCGCCATTTGCCGGGGCAGGAAATCCCTTGATGCTTGCCTGTTCCATTTATTTTCTCTGGGGCACCAAGCATTGGCCACTGTTGGCAGACAGGACACTGGGCTAAGATGGACCTTTGATCTGACCCAGCCTGGTTGTCCTTACGTTCCTATGCATTTCCCGCCATGCCTAGGATGTGCACAAGTACCAAAGGTGAACAACACAGTCCAGACTAGATTATACACCATAACCTTAGGGAGAGCCATGTGTCTAGGGACCGCCTGCCTGTTTTCAACCCAAGCGGCTAGTCAAGAGTCTGGGCGCTGTGGATGCTCCAGTAGGGAGTAGCAGTCTGTGATTCTTTGCTGCAGTTTTGTTTCTTTACAGACAATATACCAAGTTCTGTATCTTTGAATAGAGAAGGAATCAAATACTAGGAACAGCGTATTTGCGCAGATCACGAAGAACACTCTTTTCAGCCAGCACACCTGGACCAAACTCCTTGCCCCAAGTTTCTCCCAGTCTCAGACATGGAGCTGTTATCCGCTCCTTCCCCGCTGTCTGTCTCTCTGGTCCCCAGTGTTCTGCTTACCGCTACCCTGCAAAATATCAGCAAAACCTCCTGGGGGTTCACATTCTTTTCTGTCCTAGGTGGAGCTGTATCCTTACAGGTACGTTAACTGAAGGGTGCGTTCACAGCTATCAATTTCAATGCGACAGAAAAGCCCCTTGTTACGTAGGCTGCATCTACACTCCGGATCTGTGGCAGCATGGGTATGCTGCTCTGGGCCCTGAAGCGCAGACAGAGCCTTGGAGTAAGTGACTTGTTCGGTGGTCCTCGGGGGAGGGACCAACTGCTAAGCAGGGGTATGTCTACACTACCCTCCTAGTTCGAACTAGGAGGGTAATGTATGCATACCGCACTTGCAAATGAAGCCCTTGATTTGAATTTCCCGGGCTTCATTTGCATAAGCGGGGAGCCGCCATTTTTAAAACCCCGCTGGTTTGAACCCCGTGCAGTGCGGCTACATGGGGCTCGAACTAGGTAGTTCGGACTAGGCTTCCTATTCCGAACTACCGGTACACCTCGTTCCACGGGGTACTAGCGGGGTAGTGTAGACATACCCCAGAGGACTAGCAGCAGGGGAAGAGTTATTTACAGATATACCTGAAGAGAAGATGTAATAGGAAGAAACAAGAATACCCACATGGGAATACCAAGAACCCCCTCAGCTTGCTCCCTTGACCGTGTCTGTGCAAAAGTGGATGAGGATGCAGCGCTAGTCAGGGACTGGATACCGCATCGCCAGCAGGAGAGCGCTTGCAGTGCTTTATGAGGCTCCGCTTGGGAGCTACGGGCTTTGCTGTTTCTTGTAGCACAGGTTCTAAAAAACTCCCAGGAGAATTCTCCAGGACAGCCACACTGAGAGCCTCAGCAAGCTGGGTACAGCCCCTCAGGTTTTCTGAGCGAGGATATAAATTCACTTTGATTCATGTATTAATACATTTGTACGTGCAGCCCTTTTCAGAGGCTTTCAAAGGGCTTGCTCTCCAGCAATCGCTGAACCTCAGCTCCTTTGTGAATAATGCAGGATCAGCAGCAGCCCCAAAGATGTGGAAACCGACAGGCCTGGCCAACAGCTTCAGAGATTCCCAGTGGGCTGCCAGTTTCGAGATGTGAGGCCATTACACATCGAATACGATTCTCATCAGGGCTGAGTACCTGACAGCGCCCCTTTCCTTCAGTTGTGGGTGTGGCTCTTACAGCACCGGGGAAAAGCAGGCCCTGGGTCACTAGTGAGACCAAGACAAAACTGCAAGTGGGACCGGACATTTATGTAGATGACAAAAATATCCAGAATTGTTCAAATGAATGATCACAACTTGGGGCTGGTTGGATAAACCTGGCTTGGTGCAGAGCACAATCTTGTCACTGGAGACTAGGATAGACCCATAGGGGGAGTTCTTAACCCTTCTTCTGATGTGCTCAGCAAAGGCTGCTGTCATTGGTCAGTGAAAGAACTCTGGGCCAGCTGGATCTTGGGTCTGACCCAGGCAGGCACTTCCTATGATGCCAGAACCTGAAGGACCCAGGATCAGAAGCCGTATTTGGAAACATTGGCCTTTAACTTACAAGGGATCACAGCAAGTTTGGGGCAAAGCTAGCAACAGAACATCAGGAGTCCTGACTCAGACTCCTCTGCTCCAGCAGGCACACGCTGCCGCCAGTGTTAACGATATGTTTGTCGGACGTCTACTGTCAAAGAAAGATCTTGGAGTAAAGGTATCCTCTAAGGAGCAAGGGGATTCTCCCCACTGTGCAGCAACTCCCTGCCACACACCACTGGAGAGCAGAGGGCTGAACTCCCAGAAATGCTGAGAGCGAGCACGACTCACAGCATGACAACAGCCAGAGCGGGGGGGGGGGGGGGGTGTAAAACAAATCAGACTCACTGAAGACAGCTCTGACAGCATCTAGCACCAATGAATGCAGGCAGAAGATTTCATGCAAGGATATGCCTGCCTTTCCATATCCAGTGACTTTGGGCAAGTTCCTTCATCACCCTGTGCCTCAGTTTCCCCATCTGTAATACAGGGGTAACGATACTGACCTCCATTGTAAAGTGCTTTGAGATCTACTGACAAGAATTGCTAGATAAGAGCTGGGGTCTATTATCACGAAGATCAGAGGGAGAAAGTCACTCGCCTCTGCAGACGGGGCCCAAGACAAAGTCTACGTGCTACTGAAATTCCACCAGTCACTAGAGCACAAAAGGACATCTTACCTGCCATCCTGCCCTGAGGAGTGTGTGCGCCTCCTGTGGAGACAAACCAAAACCCACATTTACCTGACTGGGCTTTTAAAGAAGTCTTTGGGGGCTAGGGGGCACTATTCTACTTGACAGCAATAATTAATCCCAAGCCACAGTCCTCGCTCCTAGGAGCAGTTTAATGAAAATCAGCCAGGGCAGAGACTCAGGCCAGAGCCGGGCCAGACACCCAGATGACAACTCCATGCTTACCTGTACCTAGGCTGCTCAGAAGTCTCTGAGACGGGAGCGTCGTTGCTATGGAGGCTGTGGTTGCTTCTTCGAAGGAAGGGGGAGTGCAGGGTAGTAGGTCTGGCCTTCCTGCTATGCACGAGGCCAAGGGCAGGAAGACAGGAAAAAACAGGCTGAATGAGTTAAATGCAGGCAACTATGTCTGGCCAGCTGCTGAAGTCATGTCAGTCTGCTGCACCGCCACTGGGCTCCACAGCCGCCTACGGAGTGGGCAGATCTTCCGTGCTGTGCAGCTGAAGGAGTATGGGGGCAGGCATGCAGTGACCAACAGCGCTGACTTGAGCGAGGTGGGGGCTGTGCACAGTCAGCACAGTCCTACCAAGGAACTTTACTCCCAGTTCCACCAGTGCCACACCCCCGGCTGAAACGTGTCCTTGCAATGCTGCCAGGGGGATTTAAGGCCTTGCTCAGACCCTACTTTGGGCTCAGACTGTCCGAGCAATAGCCACATGTGCTCAGATGATGCATGAATCCTTAAGAGTAAACTTCATAGGCCCAACTGCCCGCTACCTTTTCCCATTCTTCAGAACTGGGAAAGGCTGCACAGACATAAGTGGTTGTGGAGAATCAGACCCAGCTTCCTCCTGGCAAAGGCCATGGCTTGCACTGGACCATGGTACCAAAGCACCAAAGGAATTGGCTTTCACATCCCCACTGAACAGCAAGATGCTCCACAAGCCAACAGCATTTCCATGGCATCTGGACTGTCCCCGTCATCACTGCTCCTGCCACCTGGCAGCACACCTTGCAGCAGTGACGTGAATGACCATTTTTACATGGCACCCTTCCTGTGCTGGCTCTCTCCAGAAGTGCAGGAAAGGAACTCCGCCCTTGCTTAGCCAATATATTAGTTCCTATTGCCATGTCAAAGCAATAGTCTCTTATCTTCCCCCCCCGTCCCGGGCAGGGTTAGCACCTGCAGATCACAGCAAGAAATGGAATGAAGAGCTGCTGATCAAGTGAAACTTGTCTCTGGGGCACACTGGGGAAACTGAACGAGTACGGGGAGGATGCAAAGGAGCAGCTACACACCCGGGGCAACAGAATAGGCACTGGAGAGCTAAAATCATCACAACCACTACCTTCATCATCCAACGTGGGGTAGCTCCTGGCAGCACGGAGATCATACTGGGCCTCATCCCTTTCCGAGGGGATCTGGCTAGCTGAAAATGCAGCTGTTGGACCAGGCATCTTGACAGCTAACAAGACTCCACGTCCTTTCTTAGATGGAGACGATTTCAGAGCTGCAGTCAGAAGAGTTAAGGAGGTGAGACCATGAGCTGTGCTGACAGACATCAGAGAAACCCTCTTGCCCCTGGGCTCAACAACCCCACAACACAGCGAAAGAGCGACTGTCTCCAGGAAGGCCTGGCTGTGGGCTGCTGAGACGGTTTGCCTAAAGTGCTTCCAGCTCTGAATCGGGCCTTTTATAGGAAATTTGGCCAGCTCCAAGCTGCAATCAGTTCCAGCTTTCTGGCCATTGCAGTTTCCTAGCTTAGGCCTGGCCTGCAGGGGGAAGTCCTGTTTTGCTACACAGCTGGCTCACATAAGGAAGGATGACAGGAGAAACAAGCACTTGCCAGGCATGCCCCCTCTGATTCTTGGGGCATGGTACTCTCCAGTTCCTACACACCTGCTTTACAAACTGTACAGACGGACACAAAGCCCACAAGAAAACTGCAACGTGGTTATAAATACAGGTGTGGGGAAAACTCCACACACTCATGCTGCCCCTGGAGCATAGCCCGGTACGTTTTAAGACACCTTACAAATACAAAGGAGAAGAAGCAGGGAGACCACCCGGGGCAGGCATTTCCGTGGCTGTGTGGGGAGCAGCAGGCTGTGTGGTTAAGATTTTCCCTACTAGCAGGGTGGGGGAAACAAGGGGGGCAGAGGGGACTTCCTGCCCATCTCAAAAAGGGGAGGGCTCCAAAGGGGTGCCCCAGACAGCAAGTCTGCATGCACTTACAGGAATTCTTTCGGAACACTGTGTTGGTCATGAATTTGAAGAATCTCTCTGCGTAAAAGCTGGGTCTGTGCACTGACACCGTGTCCTGGAAACAAGAGAGGCGGTCAGCAGTGCCCAGTGAGTCTTCTTTATTCCAACATTTAATGGCAACAGCACCTTAAGCAGATCATTTCAGGTAAGTCCTTCCATTTTAACACTATAAAACCTTTGATTGGATTTCGATGCAGTTCTCGGTCGTTTATGCTAGGCTAGTGATTCTGCTGCTTAAAGGGTACCTAGGTTTTTTGGGAGGAAGCAAACAGCTTGATTTCATACAAGAGAGTCCCCTGGTTTTGTTTACTGAAGTTCAAAGTGCACTTGGATACAGATGGATTGGACAGTCACCAAAATTCACCAACACAGCATCGATGCATTTTAGTGATTTCATTTCATGTACTAAAGCTGAAACGGCCTTGGGCAGCTTTGATGGTCTACATCCTGCTTCCATAATCATTGGCCTGTACAAGATGCATTCGCCCCATTTACAGGGGAAGTCTGACAGGCGTTTCTGAAGAGCGAGTCATTTCCCGCTCAAGTCAATTCTGCAGCAGCACAACTTGCTGCTGTGGAATGCCAGAGGAAAACAAGTAGAAAGTGATTCCCCATTGGCCAATAATTCACCTGAGTGGAAATATAAACATTGCAGAGAGTGTTCTGGGACAGTCCAAGGCCTGGTACAGCAGAGAGCAAAGGACAGAATCAGGAGGGCCAACCAACTGAGGAAGTGGGGTGGGTTAATGGAAGCACCATGCCACAAACGTATAGGAGGGAGGAACTGCTCCTTTCCATTGGACTGGGGCTGTACCTGCTGAAAGACTACGAATGGCATGGCAATGGCACGAAACTGCATACAGGCAAAGCCTGCAGACTACCAGCTTGCCAAGAACATTTCTCCCCCTAGGCCGTGCGCCGAACACTCACCCCATCATGGACGAGGGCCTTCCACGTGTGCTCTAGCTTCTTGATGAACCTAGTTTTAAGAGAGAGTGTTGGACACAGGCCTGCTCTCCTTGCCTAGCAGGCCACCTTTCACACCCTCCCACGGCAAAGGACAGTCAGCGACCACGGTTCCTTCCCATTCGCAGAGCGTAGCTTTCCTCTCCCCCAGCCAGCTGGGCCGATGTCTCTGAAGCAGATTGCTAGGTGCCAGCAGCTGGGAGGTCAGGACTCCCTGGACATACTGGAGCTGTGAGGAGGGCACAAGAGCTACCCCCCTCCCTCCGCACAGCGCTACCCCTCCAGGAAGGGGAGATTTTTCTTTAAGAAAAGCAGATTCAGCACGAGTGGCTGAGATAGGAACTTCAGAAGGAGCAGGAGGAAAATCCCACAGCTTTCAAACACACCTTGATCAAGCTGAGGCAAATTGGACACGTGCCCTCTCAGACCATCTTCTCTGCAGCAGGCTTTACTCTCTCGCCAGACAATATTAGAAGCGGGTTTTATGGAAGCTCGGGGGTCAGTGGATGCTCAAGCCCTCTTACCTGTAGGACTGAAGGATGTCTATTATTCCTACGTGCAGCAGGAGGCGCTCTCCTTTTCCATTCACAGCCGGGATTCCCCCCATTCTGAAGAAAAGAAAACATCATGAGGAGACAGGGTGTCCCTGGTGCAACAGCTTTTGTTATAAGATACGGACCGGGGGATGCGCACACTGTCTGTAATGCGCTTTGCTGTCTAACTGGAAGGTGGTGTTCTATGTTCTTTGTTCCCTGTCAATCTCTTGACCGTGAAGAGTGCTAAGGTATGTGATTGCACTCTCCTGCCTGGGTCAGGCCTCCTGTCCCGCAGTAGGACGTAGTGTCCCTGGTGCAACAGCTTTTGTTATAAGATACGGACCGGGGGATGCGCACACTGTCTGTAATGCGCTTTGCTGTCTAACTGGAAGGTGGTGTTCTATGTTCTTTGTTCCCTGTCAATCTCTTGACCGTGAAGAGTGCTAAGGTATGTGATTGCACTCTCCTGCCTGGGTCAGGCCTCCTGTCCCGCAGTAGGACGTAGGTTCATACTCAAACGAGATACAAAGCACTAGCTGCTACACGTGAATGCCACCCTGCAGATACGCTAAGCTAGCAGCTTCCGGCCACTTCCTTAGGGCAGCCTGGGAGAACATTAAGACTTGTGTGGCACTTCAAGGAGGCATCTGGGCAAATATCCTCTTCCTCCAAAAACATACGTTCTGACTCTTAAGATGGATGTTTGCTCCCACCACACCCAGCAGTAGCTCCCTACAGAAGTGCTGAGGCAAGTCTTAGGCATGCCCTTTGCAGGCAAAATGCTTTGATAACACTAGGATATAAACCCCTATTTTCTTCTGAAGGCCAGTCGGCTCGTGACTACAGATGGCATATATCCTGAATGCAGCCAGAGTGCCTTGTGTGCATAGAAAAACAGAAGCTGGGCCCAAATCTTCAAGCACAAGTTTGTTTTTAAACTGTCCCTCCCCCTGCCCACTAATACCCATCTTGAACATGCAGTGCAATTAGTACCAGGTAGGGACGTTAAATATCCGTTAACTGAATAGTCGAGTAACCTCATTAATTCTTATCGGTTAGTCAACTATTTTCTAGTCCCCGAGGGCCAGGCTAGCAGCCACTGTGTCAGAGGCAGCAGTGCCTGCTGACAGGCTGCTGCTTCCCCATGTTGCTGCCTATGTCTACAGGGGGTCTGAGCTCCCGGACCCAGCATGAGCCAGAATGGAGCTGGGCTGCCTGCCCACCTGGCTCCTAATACACTTTAAAGGCAGGGGTAGGTCCTGGACCGAGTGTGAACCAAGACTGAGCCAGGCTGCTGGCCAGCCTGCTAAAAAATGTACTGGCAAGGGAAGAGGGGTGGAGAGGGGGAAATGTGTGTAGTCTATAGCATTAACCTATAAGCTTTTGCTTATTGATGAATCAACTACACTATTACATCCCTAGTACGGGGTGGGCAATAATTTTTGCTAGGGGGCCAGTCCAAGATTCTGGAAAGTGGTCGAGGGCTGCACTCTTCCATAGTATTAATGGAGGAGTGGGGTTGGGATGGAGATTGGGTGCAGAATGAAGCTTGGGGTAAGAGATTGGGGTGCAGGAGAGAATGGAGTCTGGGAGGGAGTTTGGGTGAAGGAGGCAGTTGTGACCTCAGGCAGGGGACTGGGGTGCAGGGTTTTAGGATGAGATCTAGGGTAGGAGTGGATTGTGATCTCAGGCAGGAGATGGCGGTACCAGATCTGGGAGGGAATACGGATGCAAGGGGGGGCAAAAGGTTTGGATGTGCGGAGTAGCAGGGCAGGAGTGAGGGGCAGAAGTTTGGAGAATGGAAGAGCTGGAGTGCCAGAGGGAGGCTCTGGCCAGGTGACTAACCAGCCAGCAGCCAAACCAGCCTGCCTGCCGAGCTAAAGGCTTCCATAGCTTAAAATGTTTCAGCTGGTCTGGCCATTTGCTTGAGTGAGTAACTGAGCAGGAGTAACTGTGCTTCGTGGCTGCGTGTTATTCAAACAGGCAGTTCCCATTGGCCAGTTTCTGTCCAGAAACAGACCAATGGGATTATGCTGGGGGTGGGAACAGTGTCTGAATCTTCCCCCCTCCCCTCTGGGCTTGTAAGGAGAAAGCACCCTGCAGCCACATTTCTGAGCGGCAGGGCTGTGGGGCAAGCAGGGGAGCCTGCCTGAGGCTCCCTATTGACTCCACAGGCCAGATCTGGTGGCTTAGCGGGTCACATCTGGCCCATGGGCTGTATTTTGCCCAGGCCCGAATTAGCATCAACACGTGGTAAGTCAACACGTGGCCATCAGGAGGTCTACTGGAATTAAGAGTTATTTGAGAGAATGAAAATGCCGAAGTATTTCCTGGCTCTGTTAGCGTGCAGAACCCTCGGTTCAAAGGGAAGCAGCTGGTCTCTCAGAGCACGGACGCTAGCAGACCAACAGAGCAAGCCCACCATTTGTTAGTAAGCCCAGCCCACTGAGCCATAAAGACAAAATGCTGCCAGAGCCACTCACGGCTCAAGAGCTACAGAGAAGATATTGTGCAAACACACAGCGGGCTAGCCTCCCCCACCCACAGCTCCACTTGAGCACATCCATTCCCACCAAACCCCAGCACCCCGGAGCAGAGGGCACTGCGAAGCAGGCCAAATCCTCTGGTCGCGCTGGCATGTATGGCTTGGCAAGAAGTCCCAGGGATAAGGTGACAGACTCACGATCCAGGCAGAAAGGGAACTCTAGTCTCCTCAGGCTAGGCTAGCATGCCCCAAACGCTCCTCCTGAGACCGGCGTTGTGACTACAGGCCAGTGTGGGGCCACTCACCTATCGGGTGAGTCACAACCATTACAAAGAACAACTGGTAAGTGTTTCCGAATGCCAAGCACCACATTTCACATCACTACTCCAGGCTCCACATTAGTGGCTGGACTCCCTTTTCCTTCAGGCAGACAGGTCATTCAGACAGCTCGAGCCAACAGCAAAGAGCTTGCAGCCCTAAGGATTTACTACTTTGGTTTTTGGCTTCCACCCACTCCCACTACAACAGCTGGAGAGAACCAGATTTTCACCTACGTGTCATCTGTATCTATGGACTCCCCCCGGGCAGCCCCACCCTGGATGGACTCCATGGCTGTGGAGTAAAGTGCCTTCTGCCCAACAGGACGCTTCTCATCAGATGTGCTCTGGGCTCCCTCAGTCTGCCGCTCCCGATCTTGCTGGTCTATGTTATGCACCCCGAGCAGCAGGCTGTAGTCCATGATTTTAAAGCTTTCCAGCACCTACAGGTTAGAATCGGGTTCAAGAACAAGTTAGACAAGAAGTCAGTCCAGTAAGTTCCCACATGCTACTTCAAAGGCAGACCCAAAAGCATGGGACTGTCCATGTTGGCTACACAGAACTCATGCCAGCAACTCCTTAGCAGCTATGGGAGAGCGGATCTGAGTTCATTCCTCTTTGTTTCAACACAACGTCCTTTGGGCTTGGTCTAACAGATCTCAGCCACCCGTGTTGTGGGATGCCCAGCTCTGCTCCATCACCTGTCCAGACTGTAAAGCAGAATCTCAGTCACTAGTTCACCCCAAGGACCCAGTTGAGGATGGTGAACTGGAGACTAAGACCAAGAATACCGCAGCATATGGCAAGCGGCGTCCCTGGGAGCCAAGTGTCATTTGCTTTCACGACATTTCCAGGACCCCAGTGAATGCTCTTTGCAAGCAGCAGAGTTCCAGCAGCCCGATCTACTGTATTGCTGGAATCTGGGCACTGACAAGCTCAGCTCAGAATACAGCAGATAGCCCATTAATCTGTAAGCCCCAAAGCCTAACATGGGACAGTCCATTTTAGTTACAGCCAGCCAAGAGCTGCAGAGCTACCGTCGGTCAGTCCCACTTTCGGGGTTCTTCTTGTCCTTACCAAGCAGTCTCGCTGCAGCGTTTTCACCAACGCACTGAAAGTATCGGTGTCCAGCATTAGGCCTTCTGGCATGTCCTGCATGAAGTCCAGGTCCTTGAAAGTGGGACTGGACTTTTCCTTCTCCTTCCTGGATGCCCGGCGTTTGTAGGTGGAACCCTTCAGGTCAAATTTCAAGTGCATTTTCACCACTCGGGGCAGGATATTATTCATCACCACCACCCGAATGTTCTTGCCTCCCGACTGAACGCAGTACAGTCCATAGAACTTTGGCAGCAAGGTCCGTGGGTTCTGGTTCAGGTTCTGCAGTGGGGCAAGGCAGGCAGAAAGGGCAGGTTAGAAAGAGCCGCTGTGAAGAACGACACCTGCTTTGTTCAGTGCGGAACCCATGCTCAGACTGGCTTTGGGAAGGGATTACAGACCAGTGTTCGCACACCTCAAATTTATTTTTACCTTTTCTATCCTGCAGAAGACAGATTCCAAGCAAACTCCCCCTAAGCATTTTAAATAGCTGCACCTAAGCTTTACAAACTGGAAAGATTGCGATGCCTTGCCTTGCCTATAGGAAATCAGAATTTGAACATCTCCCTGGGCAAACAGCCAAGTTTGGGAACTCCCAAAGAGATTTCCCCACAAACCATGGCTAAGAAAAGGGAAACGTAAGCACCACCCTCACTCTGACAGCTAGTTAGTGGGAATTTAAAGTCCTAAAATATCAAATCTCCTTAGCTCATAGTTGTTAGATCTCCAATTCAATGTTCCCTTGCTCAGAACAAACATTTATTTCAACATCTCTATGAAGCCAGGAGGAAACACTCATCTCCACTTACCCTGCTTAGAATGAGTCAATTTATAAAACAGTCTGCTAGAGAGATCAGTTAACCCACCCCCACTGCAGGCCCTTTTTAGGTAGTCATGTTATTAGGAATGATATGACAAACTCAGTTTGCTTATTCAGTGCTGGGAGGCTTTTAAAAGGAAACAAAAAGGTCTATGCATGCCATATGAGAAAAGAGATCAACCTGCCAGATTACAAAACAAAGCAAACAAACACAGCAAGTGTATGAAAATTTAATGCCTCTTCATCTCATCTTTCATAATCAGACCCAGGAGCGAGTTCTCTTTCTAAGCGTGTCAGATACAGTGCCAGGCAAAGCCACTGCTGCCAGCCAGAAGCAGAAAGCAGAACTTGACTTTCCAGAGACAGAGTAACAACTCAGCACCAACCATCCTCGTGACTTGTCTATCAGCTCATTTTACACCTTCACTGAGTTTCAAAGAGCAGCAGGGAGACCCTCATAGCAATTAGCATGGGGTAACTTTACAAAATACCAGACAACAGCATAAGCACTTTACAGCAGGGAGAGAAGTCATGTTTGAGTCTCTCCAGTTATTTTTATTATTCAACCATTCAGAGTTCCTGGAACAAGGAGGAAACTGGTTACTACTTTCACTTGAGTTGTCCTAATCCTATGAGCCCTGCCCAGCATGCTGCACATGCTCAGCCTGAGTAACATTTTCAAAAGCTCTTAAGTGACTTAGCTGTTTAAACTCCATTTTCACAAAAGCGAGCCACTGATTTGCAGTTACATTCTGGAGCCGAGAAGTCCCGATGTGCTTTGGAATAATAATTGCTAGCTCTTATCTAGCCCCTTTCTTTGGCAGCGCTTAGAGCACTTTACAAAAGGAGCATCATATCCCCATTTTACAGGTGGGAAACTGAGGCACCAAGAGCAGCAATGGCTTGCATGAGGTCACCTGGCAGGCCAGTGGGAGAGACAAGAACAGAATCCAGGTCTTCCCAGGCCCAGTCCAGGGCCCTGAGCAAGGCAGATCAGTTAGAGACTAGCACAGTGCACACGTACAAGGGGCAGAGCGAAGGTAACGCGGGTAGCCTCAGCTCTGGTATTTCCATTGCATGGTGCTTTTCCTTTGCAGACTTTATGCCCTTTGAATGCAGTTTTTGGTCTGGAAATGGACCCTAACGTGCAGCTGTGTATGAGCCGCTTCCTGCCACTCAGGGCACCTACCTGCCCTGACACACTGGGTTCCTGGTCTGTTTCCCCCTCCTGGCAAGACACTGCTATGCCAGTGCACTGCCACTGCCTTGTTACCCACCGTGCTGCTGTGCTGTAGAGCAACCCCTTGTTGGGTGCAGGCTAGAAAATGCCAGCACGCAGCCACAGGCTGCTACACACACAGGCAGGTACCAGGGATGGAGGGGGCAGGACCTACTGCAAGAGAACAGCCTGTTGCTGAATGGATCTCCATTAAGTTGCACCCAAGGGAAATCCAGGAAATAGTGGGAAGGGTCCCCCCGTAACAACCATGGCTTTGTGCTGCTCAAAAGCAGGACAACACTCCCACCCACACAGCTGTCTTCATGAACCTGGGAGCATCGGATAGGAGACAAAGGGGAGGAAAAAGTTTCACCTCTCAGGCCCCCCCATCAGTAAAGGTGCCATCTTTTACCCTGGGATACTACCATAGTAAAGCAGGTGGAGGGGGCAAATACTTGTCAGGACATGGTTCAGCTGTTTCCAGGTTTTACAGGAGCTGAATTTGGTTCCAGGTCAGCCTTCACAATAAGCATCTGTGCTGGGCAAGCAGGGAAGGGAAGCCCTGCTGGGTTACCAAACATCTCCCTTTGTGGGGCTGCACACAGGTGAGCTGTGCCTTCCTTCCACAAGCCAAAGCCCTCATACGCACCATGTAGTAGCCAGGCAGAAGTTTCTGTAAGAATTCCGCTTCCTTGTGCATTACAGTTTTTATGATGAATTCGTCATCACTGGTGACATAGAAGAGGGAACCACTGGCACCAGGGTTCGACAGCTCAATCAGAGGCTCGTTACACAATGAATACTACAAAGGAAGGAAAAAACAAGGTTGCATTCACCAAAAGATGACATCTGCCAGACATTCCTAAAGCACTGCCCCTGGAATCTAGATCAAGAGGTCTGGGATAGTAAGCAGCATGCAAATTGTGAACATTAAACTGGGGCTAGGTCTCACGGTGGGTTCGGAAAAGGACAAAGATGGACACAGGGCTCTGACTGCTCACAGAGTCAAGCTAATCAGCCTGCCCTCAGCAACACCCAGGCTCCGCAAGAACATTAAATCTTCTTCTGTTTTGTGTCTGCCCTGTAATGCCACCACAGATGCACAGAAAGAAAGACTGGGTTTAAAGAGACAAGCCAGCTTGATCAGTGTTGTGTAGCCCTCTGGCAGACAGAAACAAAACGCATTGCCTGTTCCAAGACTAAAGCTCTCATGTGCTCAAACATTAAAGATACAAGGTTTGCAGAGGCGTCCCTCACACCCTCAGTGCAGCAGCTAGAACAGGTGGGAAAACACTCCCCCCTATAAACTCATAGATCAGTAGACATGTGGTAATTATGCTTCCCTGTATTCAGAACCCAATCCTGGAGAACAGGGCTGGGACTAGAAATCTGAACAGTGAGTTCCCAGAGCAGAATGTGCATGAGGAGCAGAAGGGAGGAGGCGGTGTTGTGTGGATACAATACCCCCAAACCATTTGCATATGCCAAAAAAATGGGGTTAGGGCACCGTTCCGTAGGAGCTGGTATTTGAAGAAGGTAAGGAAGGGTAAAGCAGACAACACAGAGGGGACCAACATTAAAGCAATACATTAACTGCTATCACTACATGTTGAAAATACCTTTCAGTACTGCATGGATTAACTATCCAAGACTTCATCAACTTAATTATCTCATGCATAATTAAAAAGGTATTCCCTGCCATGGTGGGCCAGAGAATAGGGAAGCAGTGGCAGCAAATCAGATCTGTGACCTTTGGAATTCAGGCAGGCTCTCTCCTTCCCCCAAGTTTGTAACCACTATCATCCAATCTGCAAGCATTAGCCCAGATGGAGATTTCTGTTGTCAAGCAGTCCCAGCTTACAGGCTCATTCTAGTCCTCACTGCCCATATCTGCAGTTCGTCAGAAAAGCAGTTATATAAAAATGGCACCTTCTGAAGATCTGCTCCCACCTTGCTGCCAGCAAGATGAGGGGCAAACACACACAGGAGCCAACTAACTGAAAGCTGATGACCTACACAAAAGGTTTGAACTGATGTTGCTCAGGGGTAGGAAAAAGTTCACAATGGGCAACGTAGTTAAGCCGACCTATCCCCTTGTGTGGGCATGGCTGGGTGGATGAAGGAATTCTTCCATCACCTAGTTACCCCACTTGGAAAGGTGAATTAACTACAGGCTTGGAAAACCCTTTCTGTCACCAGAGGAAGCAGTTACACTATGGTACAATGGCAGCACAGCTGCCGTGCCATAGCTGCACCATTCCAGTGCCCATATGGTCTTACAGGAGAATTCTGGTGAGCTAGAATTCCAGCTCTAGGGGAGCAAGCTGGATTCTAGTCTCATTTTCACATCACTAATTATAACTACTCTCAAATTGCTAATCTTTATTACTGGGGATGATGCACAAGGCAGGCATCTTGCCAAGGTCCCGGGACCCGATTCAGAACCAGCAGCGTGGGGTGGCAGCCCACTCTCTGGGAGCAGAGCCGGAAGGCAGCGCGTATCTGTTACAGTGACCAGTAAGCGCTTGCTTATTGGTTAACCGTTTCAACAGTTACACTATTACATTCCTCATCATGGAAGTCGGGAGAAATTCCAGAAGACCGGAAAAGGGTAAATCTAGGGCCCATGTATAAAAAGGGAAATAGGAACAACCCAAGAAACTTCAGACTAGTCAGTTTAACTTCTGTACCAGGGAAGATAATGGAGCAAGTAATTAAAGAATTCATCTGCAAACATCTGGAAAAAAATAAGGTGATAGGTAACAACCAGCATGGATTTGTAAAGAACAAATCATATCAAACCAATCTGACAGTTTCCTCTGATAGGACAGCAAGCCTTGTGGACATGGGAGAAATGGTGGACATGGTATATCATGGTAAAGCATTTGAAATGCTCTCACATGACCTTCTGATCAATAAACTAGGGAAATACAACCTAGATGGGGCTACTGTAAGGTGGGTGCATAGCTGGCTGGATAACCATTCTCAGAGAGTAGTTATTAAAGGTTCACAAGGCTCCAGGGATGCTGAAAGGGCATAACAAGTGGAGTTCTGCAGGGGTCTGTTTTGGGACCGGTTCTGTTCAATATCTTCATCAACGATTTAGATGATGGCAGAGAAAGTATGTTTATTAAGTTTGCAGATGATACCAAGCTGCAAGGGGTTGCAAGTGCTTTGGAGGATAGGGTCAGAATTCAAACTCATCTGGACAAATTGGAGAAATAGTCAGAGGTAATAAGGACGAAGTTCAATAAGGACAAATGCAAAGGACTCCACTTAGGAACAATCTGTTTCACACATACAGAATGGGAAGCGACTGTCTAGGAAGAAGATCTGCAGAAAGGGATCTAGGGGTCACAGTAGACCACAAGCTAAATGAATCGGCAATGTGACAATGTTACAGAAAAAGCAAACATGATTCTGGGATGCTCACAACACTCCTGTTAATGCAAGACATGAAATAATTCTTCCCCTCTACACTGCACTGATTAGGTCTCAGTTGGAGTCGTGTGTCCAGTTCTGGGCATCACATTTCAGGAAGGATGTGGAGAAACTGGAGAAGATCCAGAGAAGAGCATCAAAAATGATTAAAAGTCTAGAAAACATGGCCTATGAGGGAAGACTAAAAGAACTGGGCTAGTTTAATTTAGAAAAGAGAATACTGAGAGGGGACATGATAGCTTCTTTCAAGTATCTACAAGGGTGTTACAAGGAGGAAGAAGAAAAAATGTTCTCCTTGGTCTCTGATGATAGGACAAGAAGCAATGGGCTTAAATTGCAGCAAGGGATGTTTAGGTTGGATATTAGAAAAAAAACTTCCTGTCAGGGTGGTTAAACACTGGAATAAGTTGCCTAAGGAGGCTGTGGAATTTCCATCACTGGAGATATTTAAGAGCAGGTTGGATAGACATGAGGGATGATTGAGATGGTGTTTGGTCCTGCTGTGAGGGCAGGGGACTGGACTTGATGACCTCTTGAGGTCCCTTCCAGTTCTACTGTTCTGTGATTCTGGCCAGGCAGATCCAAACCTTGTATTAATCCCAGAGAACTAAAGAACCCCACACATACCAAATAATCATCTGGACGAATTCCAAAAAGCTCCCGGAAGTACCGAAAAGCCACAGGTGCATAGGTTTTGAACCTGAAGTCAGGGTAATGGTGCGCTGGAGTGAGGTTACTTCCTTCACTGCAGGGAAAGGATAAAAGAAGAGAAGGCAGGTTATTTCACATTAATGCCTCATGGACTTGCATGTTTACATCTGGACAACTAATACATATGAAAAAGGCAAACTGAGCTTTGCTAAAAGGCATCGCAAGAAGCCACCAACTTAGGCACAAAGATCTTGCCGGACCTGATCAGGACATCAAAGGATCTGATATTTTAACCATCTGGCAAGGAAACACACACTCCCTGGGGAAGAGAGGATAGGCAGAAGTTTGCAAGGCTTGATGTATTCACATACAGAATCTAGTATGCCCTGCACATTTACAGCTCAACCAGGCCAATGAATATTGTTGGCTAGGAGGATTCCTCAATTTCAATACAAAGTACTGTAGCGCCTGGAGGCGAAAATGCCACAGAGACAGGTAGAAAGGATGACAAATTATAAAAGTAATGGAAAGAACCCTGCATGGATATGAAATTAGTATTACATCAGCAAAAAAAGATCTGCGAACATCCATATCCACATCCGTGAATGCGGACACCTGGAGATATACATCTGATGTCTGCAAATTTGCAGGGTTCTAGACACAAAGTTTGTATCTGCATGCACATCCGTAGCTGCAAAAATGAGCTATCCTGATATCCTGATTCACATCCACAGATGCGGATACCTATAGATATAAAGTGGATATTTGGGAATTTGCAGGGCTCTATAGCAAACTTCAAGGCTGACAAGCCCAGTAAGAAGAGATATCACAGTCCATCGTAAATCTAACCCCATCTCTTGAGCTGCAGCATGGATAGTGGTGCTCAAGAGAGTTAACACCAAAGCAGACTGTGAAGAGCTTCAAAAAGATCTCACCAAACTAAGTGATTGTGTAACAAAATGGCAAATGAAATTTAATGTTGATAAATGTAAAGTAATGCACTTTGGAAAAAATAATCCCAACTATACATATAATATGGCTACATCTACTCAGAGATATCTTGGAGTCATTGTGGATAGTTCTCTGAAAATACCCACTCCATATGCAGTGGCAGTAAAAAAGCAAATCGAACGTTAGGAATCATTAAAAAAGGGATAAAGAATAAGACAGAAAATATCTTATTGACGCTATATAAAACCATGGGCTGCCCACATCTTGAATACTGCGTACATATACGATCGCCTCATCTCAAAAATAAAAAACATATATTGGCATTAGAAAAGGTTCAGAAAAGGGCAACAGAAATGATTAGGGGTTTGGAACGTGTCCCATATGAAAATAGATTAAAAGGACTGAAACTTTTCAGCTCGGATATAATTGACAGCTATAAAATCATGGCTGGGATGGAAAAAGTGAATAAGGAAAAGTTATTTGCTTATTCCCACAACATAAGAACTAGGGGTCACCAAATGAAATTAATAGGCAGCATGTTGAAAAACAAAAAAAGGAAGTTTTTCTTCACTCGGTGCAGTCAACCTCTGGAACTCCTTGCCAGAGGACACGGTGAAGGCTAGAACTTTAATGGGATTCAAAAGAGAGCTAGATAGATTAGGCCCATCAATGGCTATTAGTCAGGATGGATAAGAATTGTGTCCCTAGCCCCTGTTTCTCTGGAGGTGGGGGGCAGGGGAGGGATCGCTTGAGGATTACCTTTTGTGTTCCCTCTCTCTGGGGCATCTGGTATTGGCCACTGTCAGCAGACAGGATACTGGGCTGGATGGACCGTTGGTCTGACCCATTATGGCTGTTCTTATGGATTCTAATGCCAATGCACTTTATTCAGAAAGATGGGCCCTCAATTTAAAGTGAAGCCCCTTTAAATCAGCATGACAAAAAGTAAAAAGCCAGCCCCTGTATTTTGTTTCACTTGTCCACTTACCTGGGGAAGAAAATGCTCTCCACCACATAAAAGTCCTGCATCAGGACATCTCTCTCCGGCTTGGAGCTCAGGTTCCCCACTGTATAGCCAATGCCTAGCTGGATGGCCCCCTTGAGAGTGGTTGAAGTAGTCTGGAGAAGGAAGAGAGCAATCAGTGAATAATCAGTGCCCCCCATACAGGCAAGCTTGCTGCTCTTCAATCATACCAATGCCTTGTGGGAAGTCAGATACTGGCTGCTTTGTAAGAGGCTCACATTACAGACTGCCGCCAGCTTCTATAGCAGGGATCAGCAACCATTTCAAATCAAAGAGCCAACCAACAACCAAGTTCAGAATAAACGGTCAAAGAGCCAGTATCTAAGAAAACCCATTTGCATGGCTGAAAATATACAACTTAATATCATTGATAATTAACATGATGATTAATAATAGCATAAATGAAACGTACTCTCAGACTTTATTTAATGGGACTTCTGTCGCTGCTCGGTGTAGCTTGTGGACGTGGGCGTGCAGGAATCAAGGCTGGGGTATATGAGGGGCTCAGGGCAGGGGGCTGGGGGAAAGGCAGCATGGGGCTGGATTACCTTTCCTGGCCGGGAGCTGGGCTGCTGCACCCAGGCAGCAGTAGCTGGACGAGGGGCTGAGCTAGGATCACCACAGCAGGATCATGGTCTCCACTGCTACTCATGCTGCAGCAGCAGGGAGGCTCCTGCCACCAGCACTTCCTGCGGCCAGATGGGGGCCAGACCACAGGGCCCGTCCCAGGATCAGGGTCGGGGCCAGACACTGCGGCCAGATGGGGGCTGGGAACTTTCACTCTTATGTTAATTTACCAAACTTCATTTGAAATAAAGTAAATATTACGTCCAGCACAAAAGGTTTCATCATCATCATCTTTTTTTACAGCAGAGATGGGAAACCATTTTTGGGTCAGGGTTAGTGCTGTGAGCTCTGGGGTGGGGCCAGAAATTAGGGGTCCAGTGTGCAGCACAGAACTGTCAGTGAGTGAGACAGGGATGGGGGTGTAGGATCTGGGTGGGAGACAGGGTGCAGGAGTAGGTTGGGAGTAGGTTGCTTGGCCAGGAGGGAGGGGGCTGGGGTGTAGGGTCTTGGCATGGGTGGGCGTGAGGGGGGCAGGGTCTAGGTGGCCCTTGCTTGCTTTTGAGTTCCGCACTGCTCTCAGTCTTCCTGTCCCAAGCTCCTGGCCAATGGAACAGCGGGAAAAGCTTCCAGGCTGTGCTGCTGTTCCCACAGGAGGGGGAGGGGAAAGTTCACGGAGCCATGTGTCTCTCTGGGATTTCTCCACCCCTCCTCCCCGCAGGAACTTGCGCCCTGCTCCAAGCCTGCAGGGGGGTTGAGGCTGGAGCATGAGCATGGGCTCCCCACTGAGGAGGGAAGGAGGGGGAGGCTGAGCTTGAGTTGCGAGCCATATCTGGCTCATGAGCCATAGGTTGCCAACCCCTGTTCTAGAGAATGATAGTGGTAAAGTGCTGGTAGACTGCAAGATCAGTACAATACACAGCAAGGAAATCAAATCCAAGTGGCTGGCCAGCAGCACACTTGTATTCCCCCATTTGATTCTCAGTCTGTATAATCTGTCCCACCTCCCACCACTTCCCTCCAGAATTCGAGTAAGAGATGGAACCTTTTTGTAGGTAGTTTCGCCAGAAGCATCAACTCCTCGATGACCTATCTTCTTTCCTTGGCCAACTCCAGGCTGACCTGATAATGACGGGGCCTGGGAAAAAGAAATTTCCAGGTCAAAGTGGTGAAAACCCCTATGCTAGTGGAAGGGAGAGAAGAGGCACAGTGGCGCAGACAGAACTGAGGTTTGTGGTTATAAGGAATGTAATGGGCTGCATTTACTCCTGTGTAAAACTCTGCAGAGTGCACACGGATTTATCAGGCACCAGCAAGCTTTAAACCCTGCATTACACATCGCGCAGGATGAAAAGTGAGATGACAGCCAGCAGCTGTGTTATACACAGCACTGTGAACCTCAACATACAGGAGGGATGGTCTTGGGTTAAGACTTTGGATTGGGACTTGGATCTAGGTTTATTTCCCTAGTTCCGTCAGACTCCCTGTGTCTAAAGCCAGAATAGACCATCGTGATCATCTGACCCCCCTGTATAAATGCAGCCAGCAAACTCCCCCAAAACAATTAGTTACTTAATTTCACTGCCTCTGTTCCCATCTGTAAACCCCCACCTCGAGGGGTAATGGGAGTATGAGTGAATTCATGTTGGGGAGGAGGGGGTGTTCAGGCACTGTGGGGATGTGATCAGTCACAGATCAATCTTTAACACACCCCTCTCAGATAAGTACCTACCAATGTTCCCTCTAAAGTTTTCCATCCTTGAATGGGTTGAAATTTCTTATGTGCACCACCAATATGGAGGCAGTGTGTGGATGTGCACCCACCAGTACAAACAAAAGCCGTAGATATAAATATACATTTTAAATAGTCCATAGATGTGGAAGAAGATACACTAAAACATGGAGCAATACTTATTATTTAATATGAATTAAATACAAAGAAAATTAACACTACCCTGCTGGCTCTTAATACATTTAAAAGCGGAAGCACAGTGTGGGGGGGACCCAGCGCTAGACAGGACCACTGATCCCCAGCTCGCACTGGGTCCCGCACTGTGCTCCAGCCTTTTTACACTGAAGCCAGCAGCCCAGCTAGGGTGGCCAGCTGTCTGGTTTTGAACTAGACAGTCCAGTATTTGAGCTTTCTGTTCAGGAAAAAAATTGAGAAACTAGAACTGTCCGGTATTTTCTAGATAAGATGGAATGTAGATTGCGATGTAGTGTCAAGTGTGTCTGGTATTTCTGTTGAAACCATCAGGCAGCCCTAAGGCCAGCAGGTTCCTTAGTCAGGGTCCCTGCCTTCCAGCCCCGGTACGTGCTCAGGGGGCTGCAAGAGCCATGTTTATTGCTCTTAACAGAGGTTGTGTCTAAACTACATCCCTCCTTCGACAGAGGGATGTAAATTAGACACTTCGAAATTGCAAATGAAGCAGGGATTTAAATATCCCATGCTTCATTTGCATAATTGCGTCACGGCGCTCTTTCGAACAAGTGCCATTTTGAAAGTAAAACTGTGGTCTAGACACGGTTCTTTTGAAAGTGGCAGGCTTTTTCGAAAGATCCTGGACTCATTTCTTTGAGTCTGTCAAAGGAGGGATGTAGTCTAGACACAGCCGTTATTTCGAAATAACATTACCAGCGTCTACGCAGCCAAACCGCCATTTCAAAATTCAACTGAAATAGCGGAGGGCTTATTTCGAAATTGGTAAACCTCTGGCCACAGTGCCTGTGCCAGCTCCAAGCCTGCCAGCCCAGAGCCAGTGGCCCCAAAACATGAGCCAGCAAGCCACTGGCAGCCAGCCCTCCACCACTCCCCAGGACCAGTCTGCCAGCTCCCAGGAGCCTGCCAGGGGCCAGAAAAGGCAGGTGCCTGCCTGGTCCAGTGCGGAGCTCAGGGACCTAATTCAGGTTTGGGGGGATGCCTCCAACATCCATGATCTCCTCACTAAACAGAGGAACGCACCATCTACAGGCGGATGGCTGCCAGCCTGGCCACCAAAGGCCACATGTGAACCCAGGAGCAGGTTCGCATGAAAATAAAGGAGCTGTGGCAGGCGTATGCCAGGGCCACAGGGGGCAGCTCCCAACAAGGGACAGACCCAGACCCCTGCCCCTATTTTGATGCAGTGGACTGCATCCTGGGGGCAGGATGGTCAGTGTCCCCCAGGTGGCCATCGACTCTGGGGCAGAGCTTGCTGCCTCCTACTGCGCCAGCCCCTGCTGCCTCCCCAGCTACCGTTCTTCCTCCCACTCCATCTCCCCCTCCTGCTTCTTCCTCCCCACACCCCCAGGGACACTGAGGCCCCCGCACCCACGCTGCTGCGCTTCTCCTCCCCCTTCCTCCCCTTGATTCTCGCTGCCAGCTCCCTCCTCCCAAGTTTTCCCCTCCCCTCTTCCCCCCTCCCTCCTCCCTTCTCCCACCTTCTTTCCCCAGTCTCACCTCAGTTTCATTTCCCCCACCCCAGTTTTGTTCAATAAAGAGGCTTTGTGGTAATGAACACATGTGTCTTATTGTACAGCAGGAAGGGAGGTTAGTGAGGGGTAAAGTGGAAGGACTTGAGGGAGGAATGAGGCACAGATCCCCAGTGGGGCACACCAGGGAGACTGTTACTGCCTGCAGAACGTGCTGCCAGGCTCACAGCAACACATCCAGGAGAAGCACCAGAGTGCCTAGGGGTGGCTCCGGCTCCTTGCTGCAGAGTGATGTGGTGTCCTGAGTGAGGGTAACCAGAGCACGCAGAAAAAAAAAATGCTTTGCTGTCCCTCACTCAGTGAGGTAGGCAAGCAAGCAGGGAAACCTTAGAACCAGCTGTCCGGGGAGGTCCCTTTAAGCACAGGTCTCAGATAGCTTCAGGCAGCAGCCATGCAAGGTAACTCCTGACCTGATGCCCTGCTAGAACCGGTTCCAGCCGGCCTTAAATGCGATTCAGTGTCCTATCAGTGTGGATGTGCTATTCGAAATAGCAAAACACTATTTCGAAATGCACTTAGTTTATTTTGAAATAACGCATCTAGACAATTTCAAAATAACTATTTTGAAATAACGCTGTAGTGTAGACATACTGCTAGTGTTCAGAAACACACACGTGGCACTGCACCCCGCTTTTCAGAGTGCTGAGCAGTTGTGGGGCAGGCAGGGAGCTGGCTGTGGCTCTCATGGCCAGATCTAACCTACAGCGAAATGCACTTAGTTTATTTTGAAATAACGCATCTAGACAATTTCAAAATAACTATTTTGAAATAACGCTGTAGTGTAGACATACTGCTAGTGTTCAGAAACACACACGTGGCACTGCACCCCGCTTTTCAGAGTGCTGAGCAGTTGTGGGGCAGGCAGGGAGCTGGCTGTGGCTCTCATGGCCAGATCTAACCTACAGATCACATCTTTTGCAGGAGCCAGCTTTTCCATTTATAGCAGGCATGCTTCTGCTCCTCCGAGAGGGTGAGTCCTTTTCCCTCCCTCCCCCAGCCGATCAGCTGAGCTCCCTGCCTGCACAGGGAGCTCTGAACCTCTGTGTGGGGCTCAAAAAGGGGTTGTGTGCACACATTGGTTTGCAGCTTACAGGGAACCCTGGTACCAACCCCTTATAGGACATCTGAAAGCCAGCACGCAGAGTGGATAATGAATCACCAGTGTTGTGTTCATGGGGATATACTTCCCTTAAGCAAGCTGCTGTTTACAAATGATTGATTCACCAAGCAGGATGAATTGCTGCAATTGTAGCAATTTCCTCCAGAAATGTAGCAAAGGACTCTGAAGAGGTTGCTATAACCTCCACCATACTTTCCCATCTCTCTTTGTATCCAGCCTTCCCCTCCCCCACCCCCCCATCTGCTCCTTCCACAAATCAGCAGCAGAGCTCAAGCCAACTGCGCATTGTAAAATTGTTTCTCTGAAGCCCCATTCATGTAGAAACACATCTGCCCTGGAGTGCTGCCTTAATGACTCGACACACTGCCCACTGTGATTGAAAAGTGTCACAGGTAGCCAACGGGGGGGGGGGGAGGGAAGAGAACTATTCCTTATCTTCACAGGAGCAGAACACTATCAACAACCAACAGCCATGCCTTTAGACATCACCCATCTGAGCACAATATGGAAAGCCCGAGGCCGTCTCTCATGGAGGACCCCACATGAGTGGTATTGGTCTATAAAGCAGCACTTGACAATTTATTAACAATGGGCTTCACAGCAAAAGGAGTGTGATTCCATTCAGACTGCTGCTGAGTTTGACAGTATTTCCTTCCAATTATCTGCTCTTTCTGCTGGAGAGCCTTCTGGACAGAACCAACTAAGGCCTTCATTTCTCTCTCCCATATTTCTTCACACATGTAAAATGTAACATACATACTGCATCTTCTACCCAATGACCTCAAAACTCACTACATACATGAATTAAACCATTGCAATCCAACCCCATGCTGTAGGTAATTAACCCCCTTTTACCCACTAACCCGACTGTGCCACTGTGGGTCAAGTAACTGAAGTCAAACAATAACTGAGAAGCTGGGGACAGAGCACAAAGGCTCCACTCCCAGGCTCTTCTTCCAACCATAACTGAGCATTTCCTGTCCCAGAGAGGCCTAGATATTTAGTTTAGCCTGTTCACAACACAAAAGTTTAATTTCCCATTAGACATCAATTGGAGGGTGGGGCTGGGAGAATGCCGATCACTCCCAGAAACATCACTATAGAAATTATAATTACTGTCAGGCATTTAAAACAGCCCATCACTAACTGGGTGACTATAAACAATGCCTCCCCCCCACCCTCATTACTCAGTCTGACAGAGCTGGACCAAACAAATTGGCTGAACCCGCTGCCCTGGAGATCAGGAGGCAGCACTCGAGGTCTACTTGCTGAGAGATCCTGTTGGCTAACTAGGACGTTTGACCAGGTAGAAAGCAAAAGCAACTCAGCAAACTATAACCCAGTCCAGCTTTGATTTTGGGCCTGCATTATGTAGCAAAGTACTTAGATGACCCACATAAACAAAACAATAAAATCATTAGGATTAGTTTCTCAAATCCTCTGGAAGTAGGGGATGTTTCATCCCAGTGGAAAGATAGGAAACAGAAGCACAGGATATATTAAGTGACTTGTCCAAGGTCATACAGATGCTTGTGGCAGATTTGGATCTCTTGAATCCCAAATCAGAGACTAGTGATAGAGATGTAGCCGTGTTAGTCTGGTGTAGCTGAAACAAAATACAGGACTATGTAGCACTTTAAAGACTAACAAGATGGTTTATTAGATGATGAGCTTTTGTGGGCCAGACCCACTTCCTCAGATCAAAGGAAGTGGGTCTGGCCCACGAAAGCTCATCATCTATTAAACCATCTTGTTAGTCTTTAAAGTGCTACATAGTCCTGTATTTTAAATCAGAGACTAGTGAGAGCGAAGGAGTACTGGTGAGATGGCCCACCTCAGATCTCCTCTCACACAAACATATCCACCCAGTGGCTTAAAGCCTGGGCTACCAAAGTCACGTTGGTTTAAAAAAAGCCAAAAATGTCCAAGAAGTTAAAAGTTAGACACCAACAGATTGTGAATCCCAGTGACTGAACCTGCTGAATAGTGGCAATTGGGCCCAGAAATCCATCTTTGCCCTCTCCCATATCCAACCAATGAAACCATTGCATGAAAACTATTTGCGGAGTAAGAGTGGTGATGGTTTGCAGTTCCGTGGTTATTACAAAGCTCTAGGATTCCTGGCTGAGCACAGTTACAAATGGCCAAAAGTGGCTCTCATAGGTGTAATCTGCAGAGTCAAAATAGCCGAGAAAAAACTGAACAGTAACAAACAAATCCCAGTGATAATTCACCCTGGTGATACACTAACGCAGAAGAATCCTCAGCCATGCTTGTAGCAGTTTCTGTTGCTCCCTGCTGACTTAGACGTTCTAGCCTTCAGCATGAGAATCCCAGAATCTTACACAGATTAACTGGAAAAAATTAAACAGTTTTAACTTCCCTGGGCACTTGTTAATGGATCTCTAAGTCACCCTATTATTTCAAACCAATTTCAAAAGCCAGCTCCACAGGGAAGCTACAGAATTTAAATTTCATTTACAGTTTGATTCCTACAACTGAAGTCTAAACAAAGACCTTGGGTAGACGGCCTGCTACATTCCACAGCCGAATGACATAAAAAACCAAAGGGTGTTTTAAGTGGGTACTAAGTATTCTTATCAGCTTCATTTAGCATGGACAATTTCTTTTCCCTTTTTTTCTTCTTTTTCCTCCTCTTTCCCCCCACCCCCTCTCTGTGCTATTTATTTGAAAACTGGACCTACTCCTTAAACGCCATTCATCTGAAGAGGCGGGTTTTGCCCACGAAAATGCATGATACCATCTACATTTTTTGTTAATCTCTTAAGGTGCTGCAAGACTATTCGTTGTTTTTTAAGTTTTTTCATTTACAGACTAACACGGCTACCCCTCTGGCACTATCAGTATCATTTCTGGTACTTTCAGCTCATCCTACTTAACAAATTCTCAGACAGCCTCTTCTCAGGCATCCCAGGATAAGCAGACCTCTTTTGCGCTCTCTGCCACTTTCTTGACAATGACACTCTGGCTTTCAGTTATTAGGTGCAAAATGACCTGGATGAGGGGATGGATTGCACCCTCAGCAAGTTTGCAGATGACACTAAGCTAGGGGGAGAGGTAGACATGCTGGAGGTCAGAGATAGAGTCCAGAGTGACTTAGACAAATTGGAGGATTGGGCCACAAGAAATCTGATGAGGTTCAATAAGGACACAATAAGGACACTTGGGACGGAAGAATCCCAAGCATTGTTACAAGCTGGGGACCAACCACTTAATAGTAGTTCTGCAGAAAAGGACTTGCGGGTTACAGTGGATGAGAAGCTGGATATGAGTCAACAGTGTGTCCTTGTAGCCAAGAAGGCTAATGGCATATTAGGTTGCATTAAGAGGAGCACTGCCAGCAGATCCCCTTTATTCAGCTCTGGTGAGGCCACATCTGGAGTACTGTGTCCAGTTCTGGGCCCCCCACTACAAAAAGGATGTGGACGCACTGGCAAGGGTCCAGCAGAGGACAACCAAAATGATTAGGGGGCTGGAGCATATGACATGAGAAGAGGCTGAGGGAGTTGGGTCTGTTTAGTCTGCAGAAGAGAAGAGTGAGGGGCGATTTGATAGCAGCCTTCAACTTCCTGAAGGGAGGTTCCAAAGAGGATGGAGAGAGGCTGTTCTCAGTGGGGGCAGGTGGCAGAACAAGGAGCGATGGTCTCAAGTTGTGGTGGGAGAGGTCCAGGTTGGATATTAGGAAAAACTATTTCCCTAGGAGGGTGGTGAAGCACTGGAATGGGTTCCCTAGGGAAGTAGTGGAGTCTCCATCCCTAGAGGTGTTTAAGTCTCGGCTTGACAAAGCCCTGGCCGGGTTGATTTAGTTGGAATTGGTCCTGCCTTGGGCAGGGGGCTGGACTTGATGACCTTCTGAGGTCTCTTCCAGCTCTATGGTTCTATGATACTATGGATGGCCTGCTACATTCCATATCCTAATGACATAAAAAAACCAAAAGTGGGTACTAAGTATTCTTATCAGCTTCATTTAGAATGGACACTTTAATTGACAACATTTCCCCTTTTTAAAATTCTTTTCCCTCTTCTTTCCTGCCCCACCATTCCCTCTCTCTGCTATTTGAAAACTGGGCCCCATAAAAACTCCACTCATCTGAAGAAGTGGATTGTGCCCATGAAAGCTCATGATGCCATCTCATTTTCTGTTAGTTTCAAGACTATTCGTTGTCTTACGTTTTGCCCTCTTACTGGCAGTCAGCAGACAAAAGGGCTGAATGGATCATTAAAATGGATGTGATCACTACAGATCAAAATAATTCTCCACAATGCCTTGCTCTGGCTGCCAACCATGCCGTAGGAAGATAGAGGAGGCTGCCAACCTGATGCTTTCACCAACATCAAGATTCACCATGACTTTCCCATCTTGCACATTTCTCCATTTCAAGTGTGTGCACCACAGAAGCTCTATTTGGGTGCGTCTACACTGCGCTCGAAATAAGCTACACAATTTGAGCTACACAAATTGCATAGTTTTTTTTTTTTTTAATTAATTTTGAAATAGCTCATTTCAAAATTTGGCGTGGTCTACACAACCCCAAATTTCGAAATAGAGCGCTATTCCAAAACATCCCTTACTCCTTGTGGGATGAGGTTTACAGGGACGTCAGAATAGCGAGCCCATTATATTTCAAAATAACGGGCTTCGTCAAGAGACACAGAATACCCATTTCATGTTACTTCCAGTATCCCAAAATAGCACCATAGTGTAAATGTAGCCTCTGTGTGCTCTTCCCCTCCCCCACAGGAGATTTTAAACATCTGTATGCAACTCACCTCGGTGAGGACGGTCTTCTTCAGTTCCAAACCTGAGGAGAGAAGAACAGTAGGTCACTGGGAGGATGGTCACAAGGCTGTTGGCCAGGTGCAGTCAAGCAAACAGAATCATTAAGACAGCACGTTTTCACCCAGCTTTTCATTTCAGGGGTCCCGAGTTAAAGAACAAGCCTAGACACCTCAGCTATTAGAAGCTCCTATGGTGCCTGTGTTGTCCTTCCTAGCAGTTGGTGGTGCTGTCACTCTAAAGGTGATATAATAGTTGAGAACTTTTCCGTACTACTTGCTGCACCTCTAGTAATGGGACTGTGCTACACTGATGAATTATTTACTTAATGAACAAAGAGGAGCCTAGAGAGGCTTTTATAATGCTCTCATCTAACTTCTCAGCAAGAAACTCTGTCCCAGGAACATGGGGGTTCTGCACATAGACACTAATAGATTAGCCTTCTCAGCACCCTGGTGAGGAGGGAATCGTTCTCCACAATTTATGGGCAAGGAATGGAGGCACAGATTAAATGACTTGCCTAGCGTCACAAAAAAAGGCCAAAGTCTGGGCATGTTCCAGTCCCGCACCTTAAACACAAGCCGGTCTCATAGACTTTAAGGTCAGAAGGGACCATTATGATCATCTAGTCTGACCCCCTGCACCGTGCAGGCCACAGAATCTCGCCCACCCCTCTTAGAATAATCCTCTCACCTATGTCTCAGATATTGAAGCCTTCCAATACTTTGAAGGCCCCAACATGCAGAGAGTCCTTCAGCTGTGATCTGTGCCCAATGCTACAGAGGAAGGCGAAAAACCTCCAGGGCCTCTGCCAATCTACCCTGGAGGAAAATTCCTTCCTGACCCCAAATATGGCGATCAGCTAAACCCTGAGCATGTGGGCAAGACTCACCAGCCAGACACCCAGAAAGTTCCCTATAGCAACTCCTATCATCCCTCCATTGACCTATTTCCAACTGGAAATGAATGGTCAATTAGTTACCAAGATCATGTTATTTCATCCAACCATCCCCTTATCATAGAATCAGAACTGGAAGAGACCTCAGAAGGTCGTCAAGTCCAGCCCTCCGCTCTAGGCAGGACCAATCCCATCTAAATCAACCCGGCCAGGGCTTTGTCAAGCCGAGACTTAAACACCTCTAGGGTCCTTTTCCCACCTGATCTGTAGTCAAACTCTGCAGACGGAGCCAAATGCAAATAGCCCCCTTTGCTGTCTGAACCAGGGCCCGCTACAATGGACGAATGCAGCACTACTGAATTTTCATTCAAAACAAATCACAAAACCCACAAACCACAAGCAGTTTTGTGCCCGGTATCATCTGCCCAATCTGCACTAACCCCAATTCTGGCTTTCATGAAGTTGGCCCTAGATGACTCGAACCAAGATCTGCTCATAAAGGAGCCCTTCGGGCAATACACCCTCTCCCCCACAGAGCTGCCCTTAGGGTTTTGCAAGTTAAGTCAGTCATCTCCTCAAATGGAGAGTTCTGCTGGAAGAGTCAACATCTTAAAAGGGAGGGAAGAGCCCTTTTTAAAAAAGAAATAATGAATTTAACTGTGAGGCTGCCTAGAGTTACCTGCTTGGGCCATGGACACACTTCCAGGCACGATCGGATCAGCATGTCAGGGATGTCACGTTGCAAAGCAAAACACAGCAATTCACTCTGCATAGAACAAAGGGTCCATACATGTAGCTATCCCCCCACCACACACACACACCCTCTGCCCTTGAACCAGGCGGCTAAGTAGGGGATGCAAGTGCAGCTTATGGCTTAAATAAAAAATTCCTCCAGTCTAAGGGGTAGGTGTAGTAAGAGGATGTTTCAGTCCAATTCTTTAGGACTCCTAAGAGATTTGGACAGAGCAGTGCGTGCCAAGGGAGCCAGTCCTGCCTATCAGACTTGCTGCAGTTAGATTTTCCCATGGACAGTCATTATGGGAACTATCACAGCTTAACCCAAAAACCCTTCAGGAAGAGGGGACAATGTCAATAAATTGGGATGGTCCATGCCTGACCTTGACCTTCTCATGTGACCCTGTAGATTTATTGTTGCAGCATCAGCTCCGTATTAGGATGTTCCTGCTAATCTTGCGTTCTTGTTGATACCAGTTTTGAACCAGATCTTGTAGTGCTGTCACTTACTTGAATATCTTCCAGTCTTCAAGGGTGTGTCTAGACTACACTCCTCTGTCGTCAGAGGCATGTAGATTAGACACATAGGCAAAGGCAAATGAAGCTGCGATTTAAATGATCGCGGCTTCATTTAAATTTACATGGCTGCCGCGCTGAGCCGACAAACAGCTGATCAGCTGTTTGTCGGCTCAGCGCGGCAGCCATGTAAATTTAAATGAAGCCGCGATCATTTAAATCGCAGCTTCATTTGCCTTTGCCTATGTGTCTAATCTACATGCCTCTGACGACAGAGGAGTGTAGTCTAGACACACCCTTGAAGACTGGAAGATATTCAAGTAAGTGACAGCACTACAAGATCTGGTTCAAAACTGGTATCAACAAGAACGCAAGATTAGCAGGAACATCCTAATACGGAGCTGATGCTGCAACAATAAATCTACAGGGTCACATGAGAAGGTCACCCTTAGGTTTCCTGACCTACAACAGATCTCAGATCAGAAAAAAGGGCATTTCCTTCTGGCCACCAGGGGCTAGCCCCTTCTGAACAGATGCTGGAAGACAATCTCATGGGTTTGGTCTGCACTAGGAATATTTAAAAACAAAGGTTTTAACACTGCATCTTCAGGCTGGGTCCATGTACTAGCAATACAAGAGCCCTAGCCCCAACAGAGGCTTCCACAGAACAGGTCTAGGCAACCTGGAGCTTTGAATGACCACCCTGGGCTCCTGATTTTGCTAGCACAGCAGGAGTTGAACGAGTGTTAGCAGAATAACCTAGACAGGGTTGCTTATTTAAAAACAAAGGTTTTAACACTGCATCTTCAGGCTGGGTCCATGTACTAGCAATACAAGAGCCCTAGCCCCAACAGAGGCTTCCACAGAACAGGTCTAGGCAACCTGGAGCTTTGAATGACCACCCTGGGCTCCTGATTTTGCTAGCACAGCAGGAGTTGAACGAGTGTTAGCAGAATAACCTAGACAGGGTTGCTTCTCTCCCTCCCCCCCCCCCCCCCCCAGTGCAAATCGATTAATTACTAGTGGGAAGTAGGAGGGTACCATTTCACTGAACTATGGTCAGCAACCAAGACTGCTCTTTGCATAGATTGTATTGCTCACTCCCGCGTCAGGGGTCACGGGACTAGAGTCTGCTAGAAGCACAGGGGGACCGAACTTCCTTTCACAACCTTTCTAGGTCACAACGTGGTCTCCCATGTGCCTGTGCTGCCTACCCAGATTCCCTGTCCTACGGAATTTGCACCCTCTTCTCAATGCCAACAAACACACCAGCTACTTGAAGGCATGAAGCAGTCTGTGATTCACATCCTGCTCCCAGTCACACCAACCTAGCATTGTTGAAATCAATAGGCGTATATGGTGCAAAGAGTAGTATTTGAGCTAGAGAGGCTACGGTTTCTGTGTTGATGGTACAGCCTGATCTGCTGCAACCGTGTACTCCAGGGGAGTTAATCTTTCTACAGCTACACACTGTCAGAATTCCAGAGCAAGAGATTAGCTTTAATTTTCTAATAACTACCACAAGCTGCTCAGCGTCCAGCATCTAAGTGCCTAATGTACGTGCTCCAAGGGCTGAGTCCACACTGACTGACTGGCTGGAATAGCAGCGACCAGACCAGCCATCCGGCTTTTTTGGAACAAATTACATTCCAAGGGAACAGCAGCATTGACAGCCAAAACCAGCTTTTGAAACGAACTAGTCTGTGCAGAAACTGAAAGTATTCCACTGGTAACTCAGTGTGCAGCAGTCAGCTCATCTCTTCAGTAAGTTGACAGATGGCCTGCTGAAAAAACGGATTTAATTCCAGCGCAGGGGTAATACAGCCACAAGACACAGCACTTGCGTGTAGG